TAACAGCATGGTGATGCACATCAAGCGTGCCACACACAAATGAGTAACCCGATACAACCGATTCGCATCCGTGGATGAAAAACAAAACCTGAATCAGTTAATGCGCATTAAACTCGGCAGGATCGATGCATGCGAATAGAGTTTGAACGCTTGATGCGGATCAAGCATGAATTTACTTTGATTTCAATCCGAATTAAAACCCTAGCTAGTGTGAACGCAGCATATACTAGAAAAGAGTACTCGGTTGGGGGAGCCGTCCATGCATGTATCCNCAAAACAGAACTAGTACTAAAGGTCGCTTTATAATTTAAGTCATTAAACGTCAATAAGTAATAAAGTCCATATAATTAAATATCAATAATTAATAAAGTCAATAATTAAGTCATAAAGTCATATAATTAGTCATAAAGTCGCTTATAATAGCCTGGCCCTGTGACAAACAAACAACACAGATACTAGTATTCATAAAGTCGCTTATAATTTTGAATCACAATTAGGCTTACATAATAAATATAGATACTTTTGGAGCAAACACAAGAGGTATTACATTACTAGCAACATTTACATTCCATTGAAAATATCTTTGTACTATATTCAACAAAAATTCAGAACTTCTGAACATTTTCTAAACAAGTGCCGTGGGAGCCGAACAGCCGCTCATCTAACGTCTACTGCCCGGGTGACTCTGGTGGTGGAGTGGTGGGATCTAGTAAACCCCGTTAGTCCCAAAATGTGTTCACCATACGCGCCGAAACAGTGGAAGCACAGGCATTGCGTATCAGGAACCTTCTCAAAAAAATGTCGTTGGATTCGTTATGAAAGTTAGCCACGAGGAGTGGCGCGTACATTAGTAGGTCTGAAAAAGCATTAAAGAATGCGAAGGCTCCCCATCCTATCGTTAGAACAACATTTGCAATGACAGATATAGGTAAGCACTCGTCGTCATTTACCTACGCAAGCTACAGGCCTAAAATAGAGAGCTGCCAACCTGGTAAGAACTAATTAACGCAGGCAAAAACTACACAGTACTATCACCCACCATCATGCACACTGCGCATGGCACATAAGTTACATGTAACACCACTGACAGTTACAGAATAGCCATATAAATTATACGATTTAACGGAGCATAAACCTTCTTCAACCAAATTTAGCTTCTTGAAATTTTAGGTGTACATTGTAGCGCTCATAGATTCAGGCATGTATAGATTCTACTAGCAAACCCGGCAGTTCAAATTCTTTCTAACAGTAAACACAAATTCATGTTTAACCCTCCTCCGTTAAGCGGTACAACAAGGTGTATCGGACACTTACCTCTTCGCATGGTCAGTCAGAAATTACATTCACATGGTCCTTTCAATTAAAGCCATAAAAATGCTAGCGTCAACTGCTAAGATACTGCAAAACGTTTTAAAAGTAATGTTTTATTCTTTTGTATGCCCAAGAGGTTGCGCCCTAGTTCGAGGAAGAAGAGACTTATGGCTAGGACGCTAGACTGTACACCGCGTTGCCTAACTGCGTACTGGAGTGATTCAAGTTTATCGATGAACAAGGTATATTATAACAATAAGACACTCATTGAGTATCTGTGATTCTAATGCTCTCCAAGAAACACGAGATATATAACTAGTCACCGCTGAAACAAAAAACGTTGTTCCAAGTTCGCCCTCGTGCAGCACCATGTTCTCAGAAAAATGATCTAAAAAACGCCCCATTGACCTTTGACCGTGGTGACCTCATTTCGCCCACAGTGGATGCGTTTCTACCTGGCCATAACACCGACATCACGAGCTATAGGGCGAGCCGCTTTATATTATGTGCCGCAATCTGCATTTCCTCCACAGACCTTAATTAAGGAGCGAACATGTGTCCCCTTTCTTTTACACTCTGTGACCTTTGACTTTGCACCCCCAGCTTCGACATCCCAACTCGCTTTTCGATGTACCCCCCCACGTGCCGAATATCGTGACCGGTACGTCGAGCGTTAAGATTTTGTGCCCCTAACTTGGTTGCGGCACGGCGGACGACGGACAATCATGTGATTCTACAAGCTGCATCTGACTACGTCAGATGAGCTAAAAACAGTAATGTTTGAAATATTGCAATTTTAAGGACAGAACTATAAATCAACAAAGATCTGATACGTACAATCTGAAGAGTCGATCATGGCCAAAGCTGTTGTTAGTATAAAGATGAGAGCAATGAGAGCAATGCTTCAGGAATGCGCGTCCTGGGGTTACCACTGCAGCATTAAGATATTAGACACAACTATCAGACAGCATACATACATACAAACAACATACAGCACATTTCCACTTCAATACAATCTGCTACAGGTACATTTCACATATGTTAAAACATACTGAAATTAGACAACATTAATACACTGGGTTTTGAAGCTTGATAACACACCATAATCGATACATAGGTATTAAAATGATTCAAGTAAATCATACAGTATTAATTTTAAGACATTTTTTTAAAATAAACATGACTATATACAGCCCTCGACACTAACGGTTGTCCGATTGCCCGGGACAAGTGAAAGTCTATGTCGGACAAGTTATTCTCTTGCCTAGTTGCCCGATCAGCACAACTGCAAAAGTTTTAGTTGTTTATATTCTTAACATCTCTGTGAGCGAAGGCGCGCTATACGCGCCACACGATTCTTCACTCTCATACCGTTTCAAATTGGTCCCTGAAAAAAGCAGGCCCGTGACACCACTGTTACCATTTACAGATTTATTCAGAGCGGCATATGGTACCTCCTGGCCGCAGGCGCATCTGATTATATCTACTGGGCATTGGCGGTACGATTGTATATAAGTCGGTTTAGAGGCATATTATTATTACTGAATAGTATGAGGTGGGTCATCGCAGTGGGATGAGAGGACAACAGCTCAAACTCTTTCCTGTGATTGAGGCAAAAGGCCTGTAATCGTAATGACACAAATGGCGTGCCATCATGCAAAACATAAACGTGTAAATTCATTACGATTTTACATGTACTGTATTTCTCGTGCTATGATAGTATAATTTCATGTACTAGTTATTAAGTTCTACCCCATATTTTTGCATTGAAGAGTTGATACAAAATTAGGTATACATTCAACAAGATTCTTAAGCCTCGTCTGTATAACTCGGCCACCACCTGATTTTTTTATTGACCAGTTGCTGTACAAAAAGCGCGGAGTTTATACACAAGTAAATACGGTATATTACTGAAAGTGTAATACACCACGCACGCCAACGCGCACGCGAGCACATTGTATAGGTATGTGCGCAGCCTATGCATGTGCAGGCGGGTACTCGCAAAAAACTATCAGGAGTGTATAATATATATCTACATCTATCTATATATATGTATATATATATATATTTAAATATCTATTTATATAATATAGAACTCTATATTATACACTCCTGATAATATGATATGCACTGAACCAAAAGAGGTCATTAACGGCTCATAGATTGCACAAGTAAATTTTGGACAAGTAAAATCAAAATTCGGACAAGTAAAAATTGCTTCTTGTTGCCCGACAGGACAACCAGATCTGAAAATAAGCGTCAAGGCCTGATATAGTATATATATATATATTTTTAACAGTAAACTACATGTAAGTAGTAAGTTGTAAGACATTAGGCTATACTCACCCACACTGAACAAACAGATTGATGAAGTTGAGAAGCACATTGGGAATTTGTGAAGCAATGCCCAAGTAACTCATGAAGTTGTCCCTGTATTCAGTGTCACCACTTGTATTGGTGGCCAGCTTGTAATCTGTGAAGTACTGAAACAACATACAATAGCAGTGTATTTTAGAAATGACAAGTGCCACAGTGCGACAGGGCTCATCTGGTGTCTGGTGTTCTGCTGATAAATTCATGTGTGCATAGCAAGACGTCTTATACATAAGTCTTCTTTATTCTTGTTTGACTTTCGTAGCCAATTCGAACAAATATATCAGCTACACTTTCGCACCCACCTAATCTCTATGCATTGCAGACACATGTGCATTGCAGTTTGACAGGCAACAATTATGATTAGAAGCGTGCCAGCCATAGGCTACTAGTGATGGGAATCGGCTGGAATTTCATAATCGATTATCGGTTTCCCTTAACCGATCAATAATCGATTATAATCGGATAATCGGTTAATAATTGCATAGATTAAATTTAATCTTACTTTGTATATATACAATTATACATAGCATTCAATATTATCATGTTTTATGATCATGTATTAACTCTGTGAAGGTTGCTGTATGTATATCAATGTCTGTTCCTATACAGTATAAAATTTAATCAATTTAAAAAGAAATGGTTTAAATGCCTTTATTAAAACATTAAAAGTTTTAAACAAACATGATCAAGACTTGTTCTTTATTATAGTAAGTAAGTTGTTTGTGTTCTAATAGTGTAGGCTATGTAGCCGAGTTAATGTCCTGCCAATGGAATATCCTGTCCAACACAATGTAACAAACAATACAGAGAGTAGAATCTCATCTACTGATAACATCTGTGGGACAGTGTCAAACCAAAACAAACATTATTCCGATCTTAAAAAAAAAATTAAAAAATTATCGATTTAAAAAAAAGAAGCCATTTCCGATAATCGATTATCGAATTTGAGATTATAATTGATCGATTTTCGATTATAATCGATCATCGGGACATCACTATAGGCTACCCCGTGTTTTTGCCTACCCACGCGAGCATTCACTGATTCAGCCTTCAGGGTGCTATAGACAGACTGCTTTAGAAAAAATATGATTTAAGGAGCGTAAACCTTGTTCAACAAACATTTGCCTTTGCAATTAAATTGTGCAACTGTAGCCTCACATTCACACAGGTATGGGCTCTAATAATAGCAAAAGCAGTTCAGTCCTTTGTTAACAGTCAACAAATCAATGTTTAACCCTCCTCTTGAAGGTCAAAAGGTTATCCAACACTTACTCTTCGCATGTCAGCGGAAAGTACATTTCATGGTCCTTTCAGTTTTTCAATCGCTCCATCAGACCATGTCCTCAGAAAATGTCTAAAATCTGCCCTGTGGGGGGGCGCCTCCGACTACACAGCGATTAATCACCGCCAACTGGACCCCGAAGCCTGGACCGACCGCTGAAGCCAAAAACACAAAACCACCGCAAGTTAAACAAAACGTCCATGGGAAACAAGTTGCCGCCTATTGACTCGATTGAATTATTATTTTGCAGCGTAATATGACCTGCAACAACGGGGCTTATATCACGGACACAAAGAGTGGCAATTATACTCTGTCACTACGCGCTGAAATCTATTTCACAGATCCCCCACGAAAAAAAGAAAACCAGAAAACACGAGTATTCATTGTTAGGGGCAAAATATTACCACATAAGCGTTCAAAATTACGAAATGAAACACATATAATGCGGACTTATCAGACGGTGAGGTTTACAATCCTTTTGCTTCTAAATCCGAGAAGTAAATAGACAATACCCCCCACACCCCCAACCACCTCGGGTAACTGAAATAGCCTCTTGGCTGCGAAAGGGTTGTTGCGCAACTTGGCGGTCAGAATCGTGCGCATTTGAGTGGCGCCACCAGAGTCAAGTTAGTAAATTCAAAAAACTAAGCCTGTAGAAAAATCAAACGCTTAGTTTTTTAAGAACATTGAAAGAAAGAAATATTTCTAGGTGATTGCAGCCATGAAACTATTCTATTAGCGCAATCTTATAATCCTAAATTAGCTGAAAAATAACCCTAAACCTAGAGGACTACTGTTCGC